CTGTACATGCTAGCAGAGGGAGACAAATGTAGTTGTGATTCCAGGAAGCCGGGGGCAGAGCAACTCTGCCTAGGGCTTCCTGTAGTCAGCCGCTGATCAGTTTCAGCAGCGGCTGAATCTGGAGCCAGTTCCGACTTACATACAAATTCAACTTAAGAATAAACCTATAGTCCCTATCTTGTACGTAACCCGGGGACTGCCTGTACATGCTAGCAGAGGGAGACAAATGTAGTTGAAAATACTGTCCTGTTCCACTTCCAGGATAAGGCTGTTCACTCTGTTTGCATTGCAATTTCTTCCGCTAATCTGAAAAAAAATAAAATATTAAAGGAACCATCAGTTTTAATTAAAACTAGCATTTTTGTCTGAAAAATATTATCTATAGTAGTTACAAGTAACAAACGAGGCAGATTGATTGTTTTTGTCTTATTTTGTATATTTGACAGTGATTTGGGTGTAGTCAGTAGCCACTCTCTCCACCTCCTTGAAAATCTCCAGTATCATCAGTGGGTCTGCTTCCTCGATCATTTTGTGAGTGTTTCAGTTGAGACTTAAAATACTATGAATAGAAAAACATTTTTGTAAACCATCAAAAAATCCAAATCCCAAAGGGATTCCAAGGTAGGAATAGGACATGAAGCTATTTTTACACTTTTTTTAAGCTAACATTTTTAAATGTAGTATGTTCCTAATGTTTTAAAAAGCAAAGTAACTTTACATTTTAAGTGATAGGTCCCCAATTTTTTTTCTCCCAGAAAGCCAGTAGGCTTGTGTAACACTATTCAGATGCACTAGATTTTGACAGGATTCTGTAAAATGAGAAAAAGTGAGGAGCTGATATGTATTATAGCTCTGGTTTTAAGTTTGAAATGGCTTTTATTCTGTACAAGGAAGTGAGGTCAAACTTTTTTTTTTTTGAAGTTTGTTTTTTTAACAACATGGCACAAACATTTATTTACTACTAGCAGAAATACCTGGCATCGCCCGGGGAAAATATAGTAAAAGGTATGATGAATGAACTACGTCAATGACATTAACATAGCGGCTACGTCTAGACTGGCCCCTTCTCCGGAAGAGGCATGCAAAGCAGGCAAGTCAGAATAGGGAAATCCACGGGGGATTTAAATATCCCCCGCGGGATTTAAATAAACATGGCCGCCGCTTTTTTTCCGGCTTGGGGAAAAGCCGGAAAAGAGCGTCTAGACTGGCGCGATCCTCCGGAATAAAGCCCTTTTCCGGAGGATCTCTTATTCCTACTTGCTGATAACACACACAGCCCTGCCAGGAAAACACACACAGCCCAAAGGAGGGAGAGTGGTGGGATGGCTCGTTTGGGTGTGAGGGGAGGGAAGCAACTTTAATTTCCAGAAGGGGTTCAGTCGGAGCCCGGCTGCGTGAAGAAGTTGAGAGGCTGTGATAGCTGGAGGCTTCTCCCAGCCACAATTAGCAAGGCTAGACCCCCAGCCAGCCTCAGCCAGATTTGGGTCTGTCCTGGAGACCTGCTGGTGCACTAGTATAGGGGAAGTTGCTGATTCTCTGCCCCACTGTAGCCTCTCTCGCATGGGCTTTCCCTTGATGGTGCTGCAGGGGCCCACATGCTTTATCCTCTAGGATCTTGTAGTTGCAGTTTATGTGATGTGCTTAGCAGAAGCATCCAGCAAATGCTTATGATCAGGCGCTACTAAAAGCTAATTATCAGTGGGCCCAATTGGGGCTCTGGGGGAACCAATTTTGAGATATAACCAATCCAGTTATTGAAGTTAGGAAATGAGTAGTATCTGTGCAAAGTTTGGTGTTTCTAGCTCTTACTGTTTTGGAGATCTTTTGGACGGACAAACAAACAAACCAAACTTTTAGAAATATTTATAAGATTTACCATTCTATTTTCCTTTTAGTAATATAAGAAGTTTTCAATATTTATTTTTCCCATGTCTCAATCATGAATATAACCTCTGTATCCATATCAGACCTTTGTACTGAAGTGCCAATCTTTCCTTTCTCCTTAATATGAAGCAAGAATGAAGTAGAAAAGTATTAGAGTATTCAAATAAACAATTTGCATTTTTAACAATTTTATACTCAGATTTTAGTCTCCCTATTAAATTTCTTTCCTCATATTTATACTGATTTTGCTCTGCAGTTATGTTTCCGAGAGCATTGTGACAGATTTTGTAATTAAAGGTGTTCAGGTTTCTGAACTAAACCCCCTTTTGTTGTACACGATTGAAACCTTTATCTTTAATACAGTGGTGCCCAAACTTTTCCTCCTGTGTCACCCTTTACCAGTATGGTAATGTGTCTTCTATCCCCCAGACTGGGAGTGGGGACCAGTGGTTGAGAGCAAGGTCAGGACCATAGCCAAGAGTGGAGCTGGGGCTATAGCTATGGCCAGGGGATGGGACTGAAGCAGAGCTGGATGGCGCTCACTCCCCACCCTGTATGGGGACTGGTGCAGTCCCCCTGCTTTACCCCTCCTGGATAGTCATCCACGCTAGGGATGTTAAAATGTGTTTATTCAGGTAAATGTGTAACTGCTGAAAGTTACATGCGTGAGGGGCAGGGGAAGCGGCTCCCCAGAAGCTGCTGTGAGGGGTACAGAGGAGCAGTGTGGGGGAGAGAGGCGGGAGTCAGTACTCTCCTAGGCCTGCCCACTTGTTATATGAAAATAAATTATCATTCAATAGATTGTGTAGATATTGATAATAAAATAAGCTTTCCTTCTTACATGAAGTGAAATAAATAACAATATTAGCTTTTTAATAGCATAACTGGTACCTGAGTTATCGCCCATCAGATGAATGGGACAGTTTGCATATCTGAGTTATTTTGACAAGCTCTCTGCAGACTCACGCACATATTGCTGTCTCGCTTATTTTACACTTCCAAGATTGTCTTCACATCAATAGCAAAACATTATATTTTTGTTTTTAAATGAAACTTAAGATACTGCCGGAACATAAGAAGGCAACTTGGGAAAGGTGCCAATCAATGTTCCCTGTAATCTTTTCCATCCATGTGTGGATTTTTTTCCCATCTATGTGCAGAATAAATTTTTATGTGCACCAAGGCATGTGCGAATGTGCACTACTAGTAGAAACAAAAGCTAGCTCTGGGTGTTCTGCTAGTATGCTGGTTGGCATTTGAATCTCTCCTGAGTAGTCGCAAAAGCACACAGCTTACAGGGAACACTGGTGTAAATATTGTGTTCTGTTATATATCATCAAAATTCAAGATCTGGTAGTAAGGCAGTACAGATGTTCCAATGGTGGGCCAGCCTATATTCTTGGGATCTCTGGATGGAGAAACGCAAACATAGTTTTCACCAAGAAGATAGATAGTGACATGATGCCTAACATGGTAAATGCTAGTGGAAATGGGATAGGTATAGAAGTTAAAATAGGAAAAGAACAAGTTAAAAATTACTTAGAGAAGTCAGATGTCTTCAAATCACCAGGACCTGATTAAATGCACCCTAGAATACTCAAGGAGCTGAAAGAGGAGGTATCTGAGCCATTAGCTATTATCTTTGAAAAGTCACGCAAGTTGGGAGAGATTCCAGAAGACTGGAAAAGGGCAAATATGGTGCCCATCTATAAAAAGGGAAATAAGAACAACCCAGGAAACTATAGAACCACAGTCAGCTTAACTTCTGTTCCAGGAAATACAATGGAGCAAATAGGGAATTCATCTGCAAACATCTGGAAGAAAATAAGGTGCAATTAAGTTCTTCAGTGTCTTACAGCATGGACATTATTTATCCTCAATAAAGAATTATTCACTGGGTTTGTCCTAGGACCAATCCTAATCCATTTATTTATAAATGATCTAGAAAAAGGGGTAAACAGTGAGGTGGCAACATTTCCAGCTGATACCAAACTGCTCAAGATAGTTAAGACCAAAGCAGTCTGTGAAGAGCTTCAAAAAGATCTCATGAAACTAAGTGATTCAGCAACAAAATGGCAAATGAAATTTAATGTTGATAAATGTAAAGTAATGCGCATTGGAAAAAATAATCCCAACTATATATACAACTAGCCAATTAGCCTGTCATAAGACGGGATTTTCAGGTTTCTCCTCCACCTTGGTCTTCTCTCCTGAGCCTCCGGTCTCTCACTCCGTCTCTCTCTCTCTCTCTCTCTTTTCCTACTGCCTCCCCCTCTTTCTCTCAGCTCTCCTCCACCTCCTGCCTCTCTGGCCTTCTGCCTCTTTCACCCCACGCCCAGGGAAACGACGCATGTGCCATGCACCAGGAGCTCGGTGCATGCGCCGTGCGCACGACGCTTGCGCGGGGCCCCTGGATGCACGGCGCATGCGTGGGCCCCCGGGTGCACTGCTCATGCGTCATGACATCCGGGACACACGGTGCATGTGTTGTGCCTCCGGCACGTGATGCATGCGCTGTGCCGCCTGGGGCCCCGTGCATGTGCAGCCCTGGTAACAGGGGAGGGATCATGTGAGGATTACCTGTTGTGATTACTTCTTCTAGGTCATCTGGTATTTGGCCACTGTCAGCTGACAGGATACTGGGCTAGATGACCTTTGGTCTGACCCACTATTGGCCTTTGTATGACAGCACTCTGCTGCTCTATCTATACAGTATATTCAGTCTGTTTCCGTTGTTTGTGTAGGCAAACAGGAAAAAACAGAGAAAAACAATTTTTGAAAATAGAAAGTGTGATTTGTAAATCCACAGCAATTGTTGGGTTCCTTGAAACTTTCTTTCTTTCTTTGCTTGCTTTCAGGTTGACGGTGTTCTGTAAAGTGTCCTCTGCTGCATCCCAATTCATACTCAAATCTTTTAATTTTGAAGCCCTGCAAGGAGCTCCAAATCAAGCTGCTTCCATCGCTCCCAGTCCGGGTGGAATGTGGAGAGCGAGGCATTCGAAGACTACTCCGAGGGCGAGAAGGAGTTGCACAGCACTGCAGCGATGAGACTCGCCTTTTCGGAGCGGGGAGTTTGGAGGGTGTTGCACCCTAATGCTGATGAGGTCAGTCGGGGGGCGGTGGTTTGCTGGGAAGGCGGGGCAGCAGGCTGCAGTACTCGGGTTTCTTCTCTCTCCTGCAGCACAGGGTAGGGTGCCTGCTCTAGCACCGAACTCGGTGCGAACGCTCCGCCTGCCTGACACAGCCAAGCGGGAACAGCGGGGGGCCCCAGCAGCATCCCCGCTCACAGGGAGGCGGCGCCGCCAAGTGACAGCAACTCTGGGAAATTCTTCCCACGCTACCTGCTCCAGCTGTTGAGGCAGCTGGGGGGGGGGCCCTGCAGGTTCCCGAGTGGCAGCTGCTGCTGCTGCTGGCGGACTCCACTTCTCCCTGGGGCACGGGCTGGGCGGCTGCGGGGCAGGGGGCTCTTGGGGCAGACTTTGCACAGTTGGCTGGCGGGCTGCTGCGCTAGCCGGAGATGGGAAGGCAGAGCCTGCGCGGGGGCATTCTCCTGTTGGCCACTCTGGTGTGTCTGCTGAGAGGCGAGAAGCTGCGAAGCTGCGAGGACGCTCGGAAACTTTTCCAGCTGCGGCAGCTCGGCCCGGTCAAGGGGCTGCCGGAGACCCCGCGGTCAGGTAAGAGCGGGCTCCTGTACGCGAGGCAACGTTGCAGGGCGGGTTGCCCCCGCTTTCCCGGCCCAGCTGGACGCAGCATTCGGGCACCGCAGGGGGCGGCGTAGGCTCTGCCTCTGGTGGTGCGCGGCAGGCGCAGGCAGGGCGCCGCTGGTGTGAGCAGAGCCCAGACTGCCCCCAGCAGCTTCCTGTGGACGAGCTCCCTCGTTAGCGCTGCTGGCCTCGCCCCCACAGGAAGGTAACCCGCCCCGCCGCTCGCCTGAGCTCTGCTGTGGGGCCAGGAGGGTTTTGGCTGCAGTGGGGCTGGGCACGGGGCAAGGCAGTGCTGACAGGAGCAATGGGAGTGCTCCTGGGCGGCCGGCTGGTTCCTCTCGGCCTTCCCTCCAGCAAGTGGCACCTCCTCCTGGGGAAATGCAGAGCGTGGGGCTCCCATGCTGGCCCAGTTCAATAGCTACAGGCTTTGGGATGGTGCCTCTTGCTGTGGTTAGTGGGGCCAGCCTCAAGAGAAGGCGTGGGCTGGCTAGGGTAACTGCAGGCAGGATCGATAGAGGAGTGGGTGTATTTACGAGCTGACCCATGACTGCATCAGGGAAGCAGGAAACCATAAATATAGAACTTCTGCGTCTGGTACCACATTAGGGGTGACCATGTTTTCCCAAAATGAAAAGGGACCCTGTGTGGGACTCGACCCTGTATGACACCTTTTTTCTTCCCAGACTCTCGGGGCGGGGGGCTGATCTTAGGGGCCCTACTCCTGTGTCCTTTGCCTGAACACACCAGAACATTCCTCTATTCTTTCCTAGGAGGAAAATCACCTGATTTTTTATTTTTTGGCAAAACTGGGCACTTGGCTCATTTGCTTTTGCCAGCTGATAATCAGGGATGTCTGAGGTTAGACTTAAAAAGGGAACATAACGGGACATGTGTTCACCCTACACCAAATCCAAATGAATGGGCTTTTTTCATGGGAATAATACTACAGGGTACCAGAAACTTGGAAAAAAAGGAAGCAAGATAACTCCTTACTCCCATCCTTATCACTTTTTCCCTGCAGCGTCCCATAGTGGGGATGGATGTTGAAATCCTATCTTAATAATTGATTACATGGGGGATTTTGCCCAAATTCAGACTTCACTAGCCAGTCACTGATGTAGCTGCACCATGAGCTATGACTTGTATTAGTGCAACTCAAGCAATTGCAGGCAGAGATAGTTTCATCAGTCCAAATAGCAGTTAGAGGCTACCAGGCAATGGCTGTATTTGGGGCAAATCCCCATTAACAGAGGTACCTGCAATGTTAAATTAATACTCTTGGCATTTTACATTAGAAACAAAAATTCACAAGATTCCTGTACTGAATTGAAATGACCCATCCTTGCAAATAATGTGATTTGAGTATCTTTATGCAAGTGAATAGGACCATTGATTTCAGTGGTGCTAGTCCCTCAGGTAAAATTACTTACGTGTGCAGGGTCAGGAACTTGAGCGTCTGAAAATGTTTGATTCACAACTTTGAATGTTTAGATGGCGGATTGACCATCAGCAGTACAGTCTTACAGAAAAGATTTTCTGTAAATGGGGAAGATACAATTCAGAAATCATTTAAAAAGATGATAGTTTCCTCTTGGTCTACCCCAGAAAGTTTTGCTAGCATAACTTTGTCAGTTAAAAGGGAGTGGGGGAAAAATACATTCTTAACTGACATAGCAATGCTGGCAAAAGCCCTACTGTAATTACGCTGGCAAAAAAATGTCCTTTTGCTGGTGCAACGTATTCTGTTTTGGAAAGTGGTTTAAGATATTTTGTCAAAATGACTCTTTTCCCCAATATTAACTGAATTTTTGTCAGAAGTATTTGCCAGTATAGTTCTTAAAGTTTATCTATAGTGGTTAATCCTTTTAAATGCAGGCAAGGCCTAAAGGAACTTGTTTTGTTCCCCTTTGCTGAGGAAATGAAATTTGTGGTAGGGATGAAAAGGACTAGTCTACTGACTATCTGATAAGCAAATGCTTATCAGATAGTTGACAGAATAGTTGACTAGTTGCTTCCCTCCTCCCCTCTGTCTCTATCAAATAGTGGCAGCAAGTGGGGGTGAAGAAAAAGGGGTTACTTCAAAGTGGCAGCGCTGCACCGAGCCCGGGGTCAGCAGGGAAGTCCCCAGCTGACCTCGGGCTTCCAAGCTTTTGCCTTTGAAGTGTAACAACAGCCCTAGGACTGTTGTTACACTTCAAAGGCGGAGGTGCCCTATCGACTAATTGAATAGTCAGTGTAAAAATGCATTGACTATTCAATTAATCAATTACCAGATACTTAACATCCTTAATTTGTGGTATGGGGCACCATAGACATGCCTAAAATCTCATTGCAATATTTACTATTTTAATACTCAGATAAACCTAGATTGTAAACTACATTAATGGTAATATTAAGAATGGATTAAGCCTGAAATATTTATGAAATTATAATACTTTCATTTAAATTTTAGCTTCCTATGAAATGTGGAAACATGCATCACATTCTTTAAATTTCATTAGACAGTTACAATCTCAAACTAAGGTAATTGTATTGTCAAAATGTAATGATAAAAAAGATGGACAGATCATTTGGAAGTGCTTATTAGAGATAGGCTTGAACCAAACTCTCAAAGCTAAACTAGTTTCCCTCAGGGGAAATTTGGATCTAGAGCCAAACCTTGTATTTTCTGCACATCTTTAGTATAGTACTGCTTATTTAATGAAATGTGAGCAATGTCAGGATATTTTTATGAGATAGTCTCAATTGTAGCCATATTCTCCAGAGTCCCTAAACTAAAAAAAAAAACAAAACCTTCTTTCCTACCTTGATTCATTTGTAGTACAGTGAAACCTTTGTTATCCGGCACTCTTTTAGCCAGAAAATTTTGTTAATCGGCATTGTGCCCAGCCACGATACTGACATATCTTCAGGTGCACAGGCCTGACTTGGTTTACCATGATTGGCTTAACAATTTTTTAATTAAGAAGTACTAATCATCTTTAATTCAAAATAGAAATGTGAGACCAACTGCCTCACACTACAAAACTACCAGTATTAAAAACTTGAGTTTTACTATTATGGTCCATTGGTTTTTCCTAGGTTGATGGAACCCTCAGATAACTGGAATTTTTAGATAACCGGAACGCCCTAATCCCCAAGCGTGCCGGATAACACAGGTTTTAGTGTATATATTCAAGTTCTCAATGAAACATAATAGTGCCATTTTTTGCTTAATGACTGCAGTTAAGATGTTTGTAGAGGTTCCTTTCCCACTACCTTCACACTTTTCCCTCTGCTTACAGAAATACTTTGCCAACACAGCACTTAATAACTTTCTTCATCCACCCTCTTTGTATCTTTCCGTCAGTAGGGGCTGCTACTGAAATGTATTTGCTTTGAATTAGGAAAGTAGGAAAAAGTTCCCTTCAGAACTTACGATACTGTCCCAAGAAATGCTAGGCTGGCAGGGGCTGGAAGATAGCTTTATAGTCAGAAAAGTTTCCCTCTCAAGATGAGTTTTATTGCTGCAGAGCAGTGAGAGGCAACCTAGGCTAGTGAGTGGGCCTCATGAATGGCCCTCCTTCATCTCAGTGGGTCGCAAAACTGTTGTAACCAAGTCAGCCTCCCAGCATGATAGGATAATTTTGCCAACTACACTTGTGTATCTAGAATTTGCAGGGTGTGCCAATGGAACTGTAGCAACACTTCGTTTGGATGCAGAGGAAGCGAACGGCTCTCCCAATGTTGTGTGCAATCAGCACACACCTCACTCTTCAAGTGCCCTTTCTTTAAATGCATGCCACTTTTGTAGTACTGGCAAGGGAAAAACTATGCAGATGAAAACCAGCAGTATCTGGCAACCATACATATGGGCAGCGGTAAACAAAATGTTTTGTGGGCCACACACAGAATCCCAGTGGGCCTCAAGTTGCCTACCACTGTTATAGAGACCGTCAGTCAGATATGTGTATCCAATAGACTGAATGAAAATTTAAACTAATTGCCTTCCTGGTGAGTATCTATGAAGTTTTTAACAGTACATAGGCAAATAACTGTGGATAAAGGAATATGTAATTAGAGATGTCATATAAAGGAAAACTTGAAACAGTGAGAAAAACATTAAATGATAACTGGGGGCAGATAGGACAAAATGTAAAGAGAAAAGAGACAACTTTCACACTTTACACTGTCTTAAGGTTTTAAGGTTCATTTTCTGGATAAGCATTTAGGAATAAGCCTTTTGGTAAAGCTTTTCTGACAATATACAGGAATATTTTCTCTATGCTGCTTACTAGCAATTATTTTAATGTTATTGAAAACAGAAGCATGTATTACTTGATATTGCAATATTTCAGTAATAGCAGTATGAAATGTTATGGTTGGGATTAAAAATGTAATGATTTTGGATTAAAAATGTAATGTTGATTTTCAGATCAGAGGAGAATATATTTAGAGTGAGGAGTTTAAAGGCAAATAATCTTTCAAACTTAATGCACTTTTCAAACGCTTAGTGTATTTGGGTAATTCAGATGAATTAATTGTAAAACTTCTCAGGTGCCAGACATTGAGCCTAATTCTGCATACATTTAAGCATATGTGCAATATTACTCATGTGAGAAACTCCCCTTTGGGTCTAGTCTAATGACTGACAGTGGCATTTTAAAATAACAAAAATAAGCATCTGACAACTGCATGTAGGAGATTATGAGCTCGCGTGTGCACACATGCACGCACACGCACACACACACATGTACATATTTGTAAGGTCAGGTCTACACTAGACCTGGAAGGTTGGGTTAAGGTACGCACATCTAGTTACATAAAATACATAGCTGGAGTTGGCTTACCTTAAGCCAAGCTTGGTGATGTCTTCCCAGAGGGAGGCTGATGGAAGCAAATGTTTCCATCTCCTTCTCTTACTCCTCATGACTGCAAGGAGTTCTGGTGCCAACCTGAGCTGCCCTTGGTATTTGATTTATCAGGTCACA